AATAGTGGTGACTTCTGACACTTCCCTTTAAAAATGTTGATTTTAAAAATGAGTGTGCCATTACAGAGGTACTATTGCCCTATTGAAAATAGCATGGGATCAATATAGCACTGTTCATAAAGATAAGCAGCATTAACCCCTTAAGGACACATGTAACATGTCATGATTCCCTTTTATTCCAGAAGTTTGGTCCTTAAGGGGTTAAAGCACACAGTATACATCTGTACCCAATGCTATAGTAACATGGAGCGCAATAAAGCCTTACTAGGAGCAAAAGGAGTTGGTGTCCACAGTATCCTAAAGGCAAACACCTTATGGACCCTGAGGGTACCCAAACCACACTCCATAGTTAAGAATAAGTGCAGACTTTAGCATTTAAAGGGATACTCTAAGTACCATAACCACTACAGTGCAGTCAGATTTTGTCCAATCCCTGCAGCCAGGGCTGGCCTTAGGTGTTCAGGCGCCCTGTGCGAGCTAATCTTGTGGCGCCCCCCCCTTCACCTAAACATACACAAAGAGGAAAACAGTCTTTGTAACAAACTGTTTTTTAATTACAGATAATTTAAGTGCAAGTGCAAACAAGTACAATAATAAGTAACTGGATTGACTGGTAACAATAATGTATATTAATTAGACCCAGTGTCACCCATGGCCAGTCCCAGTCCCCTGCCCCCCTTAATTAGACCCAGTGTCACCCATAGCCAGTCCCAGTCCCCTGCCCCCCTTAATTAGACCCAGTGTCACCCATAGCCAGTCCCAGTCCCCTGCCCCCCTTAATTAGACCCAGTGTCACCCATAGCCAGTCCCCTGCCCCCCTTAATTAGACCCAGTGTCACCCATATAGTCCCCTGCCCCCTTAATTAGACCCAGTGCCACCCTTATCTAGTCCCCTGCCCCCCTTAATTAGACCCAGTGTCACCCTTATCTAGTCCCCTGCCCCCCTTAATTAGACCCAGTGTGTCTAGACCCAGTGCCACCCTTAACTAGTCCCCTGCCCCCCTTAATTAGACCCAGTGCCACCCTTATCTAGTGCCCTGCCCCCTTTAATTAGACCCAGTGTCACCCTTATCTAGTCCCCTGCCCCCCTTAATTAGACCCAGTGTCACCCTTATCTAGTCCCCTGCCCCCCTTAATTAGACCCAGTGCCACTCTTATCTAGTCCCTGCCTTAATTAGCCAGTGTCACCCATATCTAGTCCCCTGCCCCCTTAATTAGACCCAGTGCCACCCTTATCTAGTCCCCTGCCCCCTTTAGACCCAGTGTCACCCTTATCTAGTCCCCTGCCCCCCTTAATTAGACCCAGTGTCACCCTTATCTAGTCCCCTGCCCCCCTTAATTAGACCCAGTGTCACCCATAGCCAGTCCCCTGCCCCCCTTAATTAGACCCAGTGTCACCCATATCTAGTCCCCTGCCCCCTTAATTAGACCCAGTGCCACCCTTATCTAGTCCCCTGCCCCCCTTAATTAGACCCAGTGTCACCCTTATCTAGTCCCCTGCCCCCCTTAATTAGACCCTGCCCCATTTAATGAAAGATGTTTGGCTTAAAAATAAATAAGGTACTTACTTTGAAGGCTGCTGCTCCCTCCCTGTCTGCAGAGCACCGGCCGCCGCCCTCACACATGGAGCGGATCCCTCTGCGGCTCTCTGTGAAGGTGCAGCACTTGGACGCTGCGCCTGCGCCCCAAGCTCCTCCTCCACGCTCCGGAAACTGACCGCGGCTCAGCTCTCACACAATCTCGGGCCGGCCAGTGACAGAGCGACTGCGAGCTGTGTCGGCCGCCCGGCGCCCCTGTTGCCATGGCGCCCTGTGCGGCCGCACAGCTCGCACACCCCAAAGGCCGGCCCTGCCTGCAGCTGACACAAGTGGCGGCTTTGGGATTCAAGCATAGTCTCGATCATTGCAAGACATGATCCCTTGCGGAATCCTTCATAGACTTCAGTGTGGTACTCTCGCACATGCAAAAGTGTACAGCAACTCATGAGATGTCACAGTCAGAGGTGTTTGCATAATATGCAAAGACTTCTGAAAGCAACAGATTCACTTTAATTCAAAGTTTACTAAACATTGCTGTTTTTCATGAATGGCAATATTTTACATTGACCAAGAAGTCATTGCACTAAAACCACCATGTTAAAATGTAGTGGTTTTGATTAATACAGTGTCCCTTTAATACACAGTTTTAAGAAAATAGCAGCAGAAGATCAACAGAATTGCATGTTCAGAATTGTTTGAAATGTCAGATAATATAGAGCTCCCTTATACAAATTTAAAATGCACAGAACACTCATGTAAACTGATTTTACACACACACACTGAAATACCATGAAATAAAATATACAGAATACATGACACAAATATACGTCAAAATAAAATACAAATACCAGTAGCACACAACAATCACATCCACTACATATAGACAGAGTACTTGTTTAACAATATAAATAAGAAGCAAAAACTGCATACATACATATTGCATATGCATTGCCCTACAAACACACACATGCCGGTATGCATATACAGAATATATAGATGATCCACACAGAAATAGAACCCCTGTATAAATACGTACAACTCACACGGTCTATTACAATTATAGTAACATGTACAGACACATTATGGTACCAATCGACACACATTCACACACCAATACAACTCTACAAACTCTAGTAAAAGCTCTGATACAAGTATACAGACTCCTGTATGGAACTGCATATAAACACACACACAATCTGCCTCTGATTGCTCCCAGGCTGATAAAACTGTCTCTCTTGAATAAACCCCCACAGTGCTAGATGAAAGGCAGTCTAAGACCTAACCATGATCCCTCGGGTCACCAGTTCATGACCTCGCAGTAACCTGGTCATTTGATGGGAGGAGGGGGCAGCAATTGCTGGGAAGTATTGGGCAAGGTGTTACTGACATGGAGAGAAAGTGCATGCCCATTTAAAACAATGTAACACTTTACTCTGTGTTATCACTTAGCCAACACCTGATAACATTTAAAAGCTTGAACTGCTGTGTAGTAACTAATTGTCAGCTCTCCAGATGTTGTAGACTACGTTACCCATGATCCATTGCTTGTTTTTGGACTTTTGTCACTAGTTCATCCTTTTCCAGCATTTTGTCTCAGATAGCAGTTTTTCTAAACATTGGATCTTAGACCACGGGTCGGGACCCCTAAAATGCGTCTTTATGTTATTTTAGTGAATATTAATCAAGAATTATGCAACTGCACACAATAAACAAATGACCAGTTAATGATATTGCATTCTGCTGTATAGCGAGGACCCCTTGATGCTGAAAAAAGTCTAGTTAAGCAAGATTTATTTAAGTGTTAATTTTATTATCAGAAGAATGAGCTAATGCCAGGTAAAAAAAAAAAAAAAAGGTTAGGAATCATGTTTTTTTAAAGCAGCCACCTGGTCATGGTAGAGGCTTACTCTAGTTCACCACCTTCTCCCCCAATATTGTGTCCTGGAGCAAATCTTCCAACATTGGGAGGTAGGAAGGTAATGTGGGGGTTGTATCCCCATTAAAGAGCTAAGTCTGCAAATTCAAGGACTCACTGACATACGAGGAGCATGAGTGGGGAAAGAGTGTGTCAGTGTGGTACTCCGAGATAACATGACCATGCCAGACTTACCAAGGCAGTCCTTGCAGAAGCAGGCTCACACAGTGGCGTACTAAGAGGGGGGCGGGGGGGGCGGTCCGCCCCGGGTGCCAGCCGGGTGGGGGGTGCCATGGCCAGCCCCCCGCCCCCCCCCATGCTGCAGCCGCCCGAGCGCTCTGTAGAGAGCCTCAGGCGGCTGCAGCTTTGCCCGGGCGGTGCGTCCATGGGGGCGGACTGCACCGCCCGGGCGCAGCCTGAGGAGAGGCTGACAGGAGGGAGCGCTCCTGTCAGCTCCCTCACTGCAGCATGGTCCGACGGGTACAGAGAGCAGCTGTCTCCTGTACCCGGCCGGACTAACAGGAAGTGCACACTGAGTGTGCACTTCCTGTTAGTCTGGCCGGGTACAGGAAACAAAAGCTCCCTGTACCCGGCCGGACTATACAGGGCTCGGCCACGCTACAGGGAGGTAGGGGGGAGGGGGAGAAAGAAGGGTGAGAGAGGGGTGAGAAAGAAATAAGGGGGGTGAGAGAGGGGTGAGAAAGAAGGGGTGAGAGGTGAGAAAAGAAATAAGGTGAGAGAGGGTGAGAAAGAAATAAGGGGGGTGAGAGAGGGTGAAAAATAAGAGGGGTGGGTGAGAAAAATAAATAAGTGGGGGGAGTGAGTGAAAAAGAAATAAGGGGTAGAGAAAGAAAATAAGAGGGAGAAAAGAAATAAGGGGGTGAGAAAGGAGGGGGGGTGAGAGAAAAGAGAGAAATAAGGGGGGGGTGAGAAAGAGAAAAGGGGGTGGGTGAGAAAGAGAAATTGGGAGGAGGAGAAGGAAATTGGAGCGGGAGGAGAGATTGACATTCATCACATACACACAATGCACCCCTTGCACACAGAAAAACACACAATGCATTACACACACAGACACACATACACAAGCAATGCAACCGTTACACACAATGCATCCCTTACACACACAGAAACACACAATGCATTCATTACACACACTCAATGCACCCCTTACACACATTCAATGCATCCCATACATACACAGAAACACACCTTGCAGTCCTTACACATACAAACACAATTTCACACAATGCATTCCTTACACACATATCAGGACATCCCCTACACACTCCACCCCCTGTGAACAAACTCATTGGTGGAACATGAAGGTGGACCCTGGGACCCAGACCTTGATCTGTGTAAAGGACCCCCAAAAAATGGAGCTGCTTCCAGTTCTCCCAGAACATTGATTTTTGTGACCACAGTTACAAACCGCCTCCAGAGAGCCTGTTCTGCACCAGACCAGTGGAGCCAGACTGCAGCTAGAGCCCATCATCATCCTCATCTGGTTGTAAGTAGGCAATCTAGTATATTATTCGTGGCACTAAGCTCTAATTTACCTCACATTAAAGAAACACTATAGTCCCCAGAACCACTTCAGCTTAATATAGTGGTTCTGGTGTCTATAGTCTGTCCCTGCAGGCCTTTTAATGTAAACACGGCGGCACTGCAGCACTGGCGTTAGTTAACATGGCAAATCATATGGTTGGGGCATTGTGATGTCACATGGGGGGCGGCAAACTTTACTTTTGCCTAGGGCGGCAAAAATCCTTGTACCGGCCCTGGCTGGAGGGGGCTGTGTGAGCTGTGGCCGCACAGTGTCCCATGGTAGTTAGGGTGCCGTGCGGCCAGTACAGCTCACTCAAGCAAACAGCTGATAAACTGGCCGCACGGAGGAATGTATGTGTATGTGTGACTGTCTGTCTGTAACTGAGTGTGTGACTGTCTGTCTGTAACTGAGTGTGTGACTGTCTGCCTGTAAATGTGTGTGTAGGGCTGCAGGGATTTTGTAGAAGGGGGTGGGGGTTTTGTATTGGGACAGGAGTCTTTATAAGGGGGGATAAGCAGGGGATTTGTGGAAGGGGGTTGCGGGGGTTTTGTAGATGGGGCAGTACAGGATTTGTAGAAGGGGCAGGACAGAGGTTTTGTAGGAGGGGCAGGGCAGGACAAGGGTTTTGTAGGAGGGGCTGACAGCGGTTTTGCAAAGTTTACAAATTGTAAAAATAAAGAAAGAAAACCTTTAACATTTTTTACAGGTTTTTTTTTTTTGGGTGGGGGGGGGTGCCAAGCACAGGATCCGCCCCGGGTGCCAAATGCTCTAGGTACGCCCCTGGGCTCACATTTGGACAATTGCTTGTAAATAGCTTCCTATTTGCACCTCACGTTTATGTGACTTCCTCTGGGGCTTCAGAATACCAAGGAAGACATAGTGAGACAGTGGCATGCGGCTCAAATCAGGACTGTTTCCTCAGGTATGGGACACCTAGCAAGTATATGGTAAGTGTAGCTGAATCAAAGGTTGCAAAATGTGCAGTAGATAGCTTCTTTGCCCTCATTTTAGTAGCATCTACAGCAGTGACAGCTAACAGTGGCCCTGTAATGTTAGTGACCTACACTGCCTAGGAGTACCCCCATTTCTTTTGCAAAGGGGACTGATCACAATAAATTGATTTTTTTTTTTTTTTAAAGTGACACTTCCCTTTCAGTAATAGTAAAAGAGGTACAAACCTACGCGCCCTTATTCTTAATTGACTGCGTGGGTGTCGGATTTAAACTGTTTTTATATGGATGTCATTCTATACTGGAATAATATTTGTACACCAGGCTTGCCCTGCTCCTGTCTGCAAGGATTACTGTCAGATCAGGTTTTCAGGACAACACATACTGAAACATTTTTCTCAGTGATATTTATACATCACAGATAATTGACTAATTTCCTGTTGGCCACTGTCCTGTTGGGCTACATTTTTTGGATTCCTTACCAAGGACTCTGAATCAGTGGGAGAAAAACCCTCTATCCCTCTAGTAGCTTTGGACTATAATTTTCACAAAGCTCACCCAGGCCAGCGCTGGCTTAGAATGACAGTGGATATATAGTCTATATATATATATATATATATATATAGAAATGGTACAAAACTGAAATCCAAGTTATAAAATTAAGGCTAAAATTAGCCAAGTTGTAGATCTATAACAGAGTTGGATAAGGTTTCCAAATCAGCTATGTATGTCTGAATTTATTTTGCATTTTGGATTTCAATTAGCTAAAATTCAGAGTTTAGTAAAAAAACAAACAAACAAAAAAAAAAACGGACGGTGTTTACTGTTCCATTCAAAAATATATGGAGTACATCTCTTTTTCTACTTTAAAAAAATATAAACATTTATTGAATAAAAGGCATACAAAATACCATAATATTTATCTAGTTGTAACCAGGTGTATTTAAAAGAAAATCCACTTTTAATAATCTTTATCTTAAAAAGGAACTAACTTATACTTCCAATAAATTACTGGTAAGGGTGTAAATGATTGGCCCATCAAACACCTTTGTGTACCTATGAGTGCTGATAGTTTTAAAAACTTTTGTCACTTGAGATTGATCAACGAGGTTGTATTCCGAACAGTATAGCTTCCTTCCCTCCCTTGAGGCCCCCAGGCCAGTAAAGGGTTAAAAACCTGTTATTTACTTACCCGATCCCAGTGTCAGTATCCCTTGGCACTGGGTCGGCACTCCACCTCCTCCAATGTCATCCATTTAGGAGGGGGTCTAATGCACATATGCTGTGAACCATTAGGGCCTTCCCATAGAAAAAAATTGAATCAATGCTCTCCTATTGCGATTTTACAGACGCTAGATGTCTTAATGCAGAACGCCTGGCAAGCAGAAAAGGGCATCTAGTGGCTGTCTTATTGCTGCAATGTAAACAGTTTTTCCTAAACTGCAATGTTTTACATTGCATTACTAAGTGTGACAGGGACACTGCACCCAGACCACTTCAATGAGCTGAAGTGGCCTTGGTGCCTATAGTGTTCTTTTCATTCTGCAATACGGCAATTTGAATCAGGTATGTCCTACGAAAAAATACACACAAGTCAGATGATATTTTAAGCAATTCAGCCCCTTGAAGAATTCATTATTCATGAACTGGTAAATTAAACAGGGTGATTTGATAAACTCTGGTTTTCTGTAAATGAAAAAAAACTCAGGAATAAATACACTAGACACTACAATAGACAACGTATTTAGGACATTCCTGGATTCAGGTGTTTCAATCAGATGATTTGCAACAGGTTTATAAAATAAAGCACCTAACCATGTAGTCTACATTTACAAACATCTGTGAAACAAATGGGTCGTTCTGAAGAGCTCAGTGAATTCCAGCATAGTGCTGTGATAGGATGCCACTTTTGCAATGAGTCAGTTCGTGAAATTGTATCTATGCTAGATATTCCACAGTTAAATGTAAGTGCTATTATTGGAAAGTGGAAGCATTTAGGAACAGCAGCAACTCAGCAAGGAAGTAAAAGACCACGTAAAAAGTCGCAGAGTGGAATAACTGAGTGCTGAGGTGCATGGTGCATGAAATTCAACAAAGCTTTGCTGATTCCATAGCTGAAGAGTTCCAAATGTACACTGGCATTAATATGAGTGCGAAAAATGTGCGGCGAGAGCTTTGTGGAATGGGCGTCACATCACCAAGTACAATGCCAAGCGTCGAATCGGGTGGCATAAGCATGCTGCCACTGGACTCTGGAGCAGTGGAAACATTCTGAAGAGTGACGAATCACACTTCTCTGTTGGGCAAGTCTTGGTTTGGCAGATGCCAGGGAAACCTGCCTGACTGCATTGTGCCACCTGCAAAATTTGCTGGAAGAGGGATAATGGTATGGGGCTGTTTTTCAGGGGTTGGCCCAGGCCCATTACTTCCACTGAAGGGAAATCTTAAAGCGGCACTGTCATGATTCATTTCCGGTGGTCAGAGCAATTTTCCCATAATTCTCACCTCTCCTCAGTGTTCCCGCATAGTCTCCTTTCACTTTTACCGAACATGCTGTCACTTAGACAGAACGCTGGCGAAACTACCGAATTGCGTCCTAACAGAATGAGAACAGTTTCTCCATTCGTGTTAGGACGCAATGCAGGACTTTGTTCGGATCGGAATTTCATTCGAATGAATGAAACTCCAATCCTCTTCTTGGTGCGGCTGCATCTTGCAGCCACTTAGTAGATAACTCCCTAATTCGGATTTTGACTGGAATTATGGATATTTCTTTGGCCTTTTTTTGGGTTGAAAAATGACAGGACAATAGCCCCCACCCGTGCCGCGCGACTGGGTGCTATTAAACTGAGTGGCGGGAGGGGGGAAACCCTTTTTTTAAATTTTTTAACAGTGAGCAGCAACAAGCTGCTTACTGTTTAATAGACATGCCCTTAATCACGGTATAGCGAGTAGGGCAGAATTTACTAATACTAAGTCATCTTTACTTAGTATTAGTAAATTTGGCTGAAAGACCCATTTAGGTCTTTGAGCTTTTTGGTAGATAGTAGGGATCGACCCATATTGATTTTTTAGAGCAGATACCGATACCTTGCAGATATTCTGTACATTTACCATTTTGAAAAAATAAACTAATTCTAAAAGGTAAATGCACAAAATATACATGCCACGTGTAGTGGATGAAGTGTGTTTAGACAGGGGAGCTGTGTGTGTTTGTGTAGTGTGTGTGTGTAGTGGATGCAGTGTGTATATATAATGAATGCAGAGTGGGTTTGTGTAGTGTGTATAGTGAATGCAGAGTGTGTGTTTGTGTAGTGTGTATAGTGTGGGTAAAGTGAATGCATTGTGTGTGTATATAATGTAGTGTGTGTGTATGTAATGTAGTGTGTGTGTATGTAATGCAGTGTGTGTGTTTGTGTGTATGTAATGCAGTGTGTGTGTTTGTGTAGTGGGTGTGTATGGGTATGTAACGCAGTGTGTGTGTTTGTGTGTATATAATGAATGCAGAGAGTTTGTGTAGTGTGTGTGTGTGTGTGTGTGTATATAATGAATGCAGAGTGTTTGTGTGTGTGTGTATATAATGAATGCAGAGTGTTTGTGTAGTGTGTGTATATAATGAATGCAGAGTGTTTGTGTAGTGTGTGTGTGTGTATATAATGAATGCAGAGTGTTTGTGTATATAATGAATGCAGAGTGTTTGTGCAGGGTGTGTGTATGTATAATGAATGCAGAGTGTTTGTGTAGTGTGTGTGTGTGTGTATAATGAATGCAGAGTGTTTGTGTAGTATGTGTGTGTATATAATGAATGCAGAGTGTTTGTGTAGTGTGTGTTGTGTGTGTGTGTGTGTGTATATAATGAATGCAGAGTGGTTGTGTGTGTGTGTGTATATAATGAATGCAGAGTGTTTGTGTAGTGTGTGTGTATATAATGAATGCAGAGTGTTTGTGTAGTATGTGTGTGTATATAATGAATGCAGAGTGTTTGTGTAGTGTGTGGTGTGTGTGTGTGTGTGTGTGTGTATATAATGAATGCAGAGTGTTTGTGTATATAATGAATGCAGAGTTTTTGTGTACTGTGTGTGTGTATATAATGAATGCAGAGTGTTTGTGTATATAATGAATGCAGAGTTTTTGTGTAGTGTTTGTGTATATAATGAATGCAGAGTGTTTGTGTAAATAATGAATGCAGAGTGTTTGTGTAGTGTGTGTGTGTGTATATAATGAATGCAGAGTGTTTGTGTATATAATGAATGCAGAGTGTTTGTGTAGTGTGTGTGTGTGTGTGTGTATATAATGAATGCAGAGTGTTTGTGTATATAATGAATGCAGAGTGTTTGTGTAGTGTGTGTATT